TTCGATTCCGAAAACTATGTTAATTAATTTAGTTAATTCGATGAGAGATAGATGTAGGCTTGTCATAGAAAAAAATGATGTACTACTTTTAAGCTATTAAACGAGATATTAATGATAATGATTGGTACAGTTTTGGCTGGCAATAACCCTTTTTTTTCATTATCAATAATTTCGTGTCACACTGTATATACCAAATCCTTGGAGCTGCAAGAATTGCACAAGATTAAGTATTCGATATTATTAGCAAATAGGACACAGCGCAGGACAACGGCTATCAAAAGTTAAGCCGGGTCGCGTTGACTAAACTTATTACTACTCACCAGTTTCAACGCACGGTTCTGCGATAACATGAATGTGTTCTTTGGGTGACAATACAACAATAAGCAGGAAAGAAAAAAAAAGCACAAGTTAGTTAACGTCGAAAACAGTATACCAAAATACAGCGACAGTGAGGGAATTTAATAGTGCGGCGTGAGCAGTAAGTATAATATAAGCAAGATAATTAATTACCATCGGCAGGTCAAAAGATGTGCTGCGCGATGGATGTGATCTAATATACTAACGCGGCTTAATCAATGACGTATATAGGAACTTTCTAGACCTTTTCACAATGTAACTATTGTTCCCTGTGACCAATGATAATCTTCAGAAATCAATCACACCACATTGAAACAATACATCGTTTAAAGTAATAAAACAAATCTGTCAATTTCCATCAATAACACTACGAAAAATTTGCGAATTCCTTGTTGGAGTATTTATTGGCTTCACTCTCTAAATGGCATACTTTGTAATGGTCGGCCTAATAATACGAGAGCTTTAATTCAAACTATGAAGTTACAATCCATCGAACAAAATTTACTCGCCAGAAATCGAAACGTTGTGGAACAATCTAAAACGATTATACGACAAAAGAATTAAATTGGATCCAAAATTTTCATTTAGCAAAATGGTATTTGAAATTCATAAGCTGGTCGACGAAAAAAAGGCCATTGCTGCATCTACAATAAGAAATTTTTAAAAAGACCATTGAAGAAATCCAACGTTGGATCGAGAAGAAAAGAAAAATGTAAACCATGAAGATGACGAAATAACAGATGATAGTGATAATATTATTAATGGGAGGCAATCATTTCGTTGACAATCATTTCACCGACAAATCTTCACCAACATTATTTCGAAGTTATCCTTTTTTGGTAGTTAATTGTCGGTGAAATGTACTGTCGGTGAAATGATTGTCGATGAAATAATACGGACCCTTATTAATAATAGTAATAGTGATAGTAAAAGAGATAATGAAATTTAAATTTGCACCAGAGTGACCAAAGAATAGGTTATACTCACTAATGACTTTGGCAATCACTCTGGTAGCCTTTATATCATTTATATTTCAAGAGTGCGCGTTCAATAATCGAAAAATAAAATTTATGCTTACAAAAAAATTTTTATTTTTACATTCTGGTTACAACTATGTCAAAGCTCAAGTAGTCAACAACAAATTGACGACTATAATTTCAGTAATAGGTTACTTGATCAGTGGAGGTCTTGGTGGCAACATTTATATTTCTTCAAGTTTTCGTTTCTTTCTTGGTTTATTATAAATTGGGTTTAATCTTCGTTTATTGCTTATTATTTTTCGTTCTTCTTGATAAATTTCATAAGTGATTTTTTCTTTATCATTGATTTTAAAAACATAACAATAAGGGGCAATTTTTTCTCCTTGTTCTTTTTTTAGAATGCTTCTAATGGTGCTGTAATTCTTTGGTTCCATGGTGGATTTGATATAAATTAGTTTCATATATTTTATTATTTTTATATAGAGATAGCCCTATATTAATCATGTTATGGTTTATATTCATCACATTCTGGTATGATAAAGTGAACATTAAAATTAACAAGTCAAGTCCATAAGTTATAAATGAGCACCATTATTACTTTTCAAAACGTCATCAGTCACACTGGTCAATTTTACAGCCACATCATAATCAGCCTCTCATTTATGTCACGTAGTCAAATGTTCACTTTGTCTGGTTTTGTTGCAGCATACCCCATTTATGATACTTTGGCACCAGCCATACGGCGCACTCCTCCATCAGTTGAAGCAACTGAAGATGTTTTTCACCAGTTCTGGGATGACACCATTAGTGCAGTATTGACTTGTTTCCTTCCAGATTATGGTTTCAGTTTAAGTAATCTCTTTATCTTTAGAGGGGAGGAGAAATCAGAATTGAGTAATGATGATCCAAAAATTGAACTGGGTTTATGATGGTTCTCAGTAAGGTCATACATTGAGCAATATTAATATGTACTCATCTATTGATTATTTACGTTTTCATACATAATTTGTATCATCACAGGATACTATGCCTTTGGAGCTCAAGTAATCTTGGTTGCCATTTGTCCTCCTTCCAGAGATGGAGATAAAAATCCAGTGGTGGTTGATATTGTTAAATCAGATTTACAACAGGTAAAAGATCGAGTATGTCATCTACAGCGAATGATGAATATATCCAGATTGCTGGAGACAAATGTTTAATTTTAGAATTGAAAGTAATGGTATTCATTATCGAATAAAAAGCGCTGCAGTCGTCACATTACCATGTGATCACGTGATAGTGGTAGCGACATAGACCTAACCACGCGTGTTCGCGTTTGCTTCGCATATGGATCTTCACCCTGATTGTCTCAAAGCTCTAAAATACCCTGGTAAGAAAAACGTTTATACTACACGTTTTTTATACTATATTAATACGTTTTCTAACGTAGCATTCTGGGAGGCTACTGACAATCCTTCACTCAGAAAGTTCCTGGACTTCCGGCATCTGGAAGGCGATTTGACTAACGTAGATACGGAACACTATCGTTATATATGCGAACTAAATACTATCGGCGACTACTACCCCGAAGAATCCGAAGTTGGTCAGATTGTTTTGGAGTTGAGAGGCGATTATAAGGTATTTGTATTTAATTCATTGGCCTTTTCGTAGAAAGCACGGACTACTTTGCAGGTGGAATGCTTGCACGGACTACTTTGTGGGTGGTATGCTTGCATAGGAAAGGGTGGAATGCTCTGTCCGTAGTGGTTTTTGGGTGGAAGGCTCATATGGTCAACCTGTGGGTGGAAGGCTCATTAGGAGCTGGGTGGAATGCTCGACCATAGTTGGTTTCTATGATCATTTTCAACAGATTTGTGATTGCTTGATGGATCCGTGTACAAAGCAAAAAAAATAGACTTTTTATTATTATTATGTATTATAATAACCTTTTTGAGACGGATAAAAAGTCGAGATCAGTGAAACTCTTTTGGGAATTACAAGCAGTACATACTGAATCTGAGTTAGTTGATGAGAAATCCAAATTACAATGGGTAAGTTGTCTTTACAAAAACTATAAAACCATCTATAGGTATAGTTTTGCTAAACTCCTCAACTCTGATTTAGAAACAAGGGATGCTAGAATTCGAAAAGAAAGGTCTCGACCACCTTGAAAAGACTTCATCCATTGTGCAAAGAAAACAAATCTCAAGCTATATATCTTGTGAGAGGTCAGAAACACATACTAATACAGACAAGGTGAGTCTAATAAGAGAACACCAGTTTGGCTTTTAATGAACTAAGTATTTTCTTTTATGATTAGGTGTATGGCAAAGATGATATTTGTACACCAGAGCAGACTATTAAGCAAGGAGATTTCGAAGGGAATAAAAATTTATGTTACGAGATTTTACCAAGAAATATTGAAAAAAAGCCTTTACCAAACCCATTTCTGGCAAATCAGCAAGGAAAAAAACGCGATCTTGAAACCGAAGACGATGTCGAAGAATTTGATGCAGATCTAACAGTCGTTGGTGGAGCAAGCTCCGAATGGATCGTAAATGGGATCCGAATCAGAGAACGTCTCACGGCATACCAGTCGAAGATTCTGCCAAGGACAAGGCCGGAATATTATGATGTTCTATTTTTCAATTCTCATACCAATGGATTTTTACAGACATTGGACGAAAGTATAGTAACACAGATGCTCTGTGATATAAGTGACAAAGAAACTGAAAATATTGTGGAAAGTAAAATCAAATTGTCGTTAGATCGTTTCATTGATCGTGATATTAAAAAAACAAAGGAAAAACTCAAACAAGTAAAGGAAGAAGATACCGATTCATTTGAATATATCTTTGCATTGAATTTCGTGAGACATATGTGAGTTTCTGTTTCTAATTTTGAGAAATGAGAGTTGCGACTAATGAGATTGATAATATTCACAGGGTGAAGCTAATGGATGATATCAACTTATTTCTTGACCCAATGTCGGAAGGCACGTATATTAATAGCGTGCTATCACCTATTCTCGATGGATTTTTTGTTAAAAATAAGAGATATTGGCGTATATCTTATGGCGAAACTTGTCTCAAAGCAAACGCAAAAGATAGAAATTCACAAAAAGACGATTATGAACGCCGGTCCACTGGAAAGAAAATCGACACTATTATTATCTTGCGAGAAGAGAATGAAGAATTTTCTGTAATTGAAGTTAGTGGACCACCAATGAAAAATGACTGGTCGCATTTCAATGGTGATCGGTTGAAGATTGCTAAAATGTTGAAAACAATAATGAACCGTTTTGCAGAACTAAACCCGGATTCTAATATTACATCGGTCAAGCTATACGGATTGCAAGCGTATTGTAAGGTTTTATTTTTAATATTTTCGCTCGTAATTGTTATTGTCATGCACTGCTAACTCTTAGAATATACAGTAAATGAGATTACTATATATGAATTTCGGCTTAAATTCGCTGAGATTTATTCTATGAGACCAATATTAAAATTTCCCTTGCCAAAAACATGGACGGAAATGGCAAGATCTGACAAAACCATAATGGGCTTTTTGAAGTACGAGGTTTGTATAGATCATTATTAACGGCTGAATTCGCTTTAATGTATTTTATTATTAAAAGAAACAAGGTATAGAAACGAACAACTAACATTCTCGATTCTTGTACATTAGTTATTATTAAATGAAAGCGCAAAATCGATTCAAAACTTTTTATGGAATGTAGGTGGAGAAGATGAATCATGTGAACGAATGACGACTCGCATGATTCATACGCCTGCTGCTAAACATACAAAAACAGGAACAAAGAAATCACGAGTCGTTTAATAATCATTTATTACGATTACGATGTAACTAATAATTTATACCTACGAAATAAATTTGTACTAGCTCTGGGGTAGATTTCCTGCAAAAATATTCTCAGGCAACGTACATTTTCGGCCTAGATCTCCAACCAACAATTATTTTCGAATTGAAAGAATATTTCATAGTACTGTATATACGTACGTAACCTAACAATCGAGTATAACTTAGAAATATTAAATATTACCATGTCAGCTTTGCGTTATATATATTGAACTGATGTTAGAGTGGCATTCCTTAGTGAAGTAAGGAACAATTTTCTCTTGTATCTTTGGGTTCACTACCTAGATAACCACTGTCCCGTCATTTTTTATATAGTGTTTCACCTTTTTTTCCCTTAAACATTCGATACATCTTATTTGCAAGGACGATTCCGGAGTTTACTTTTGGGATTGACAATTACATCTGAATCTGTTCACACGACAAGGATTTATAGTACCATACCATTAATTGACATATCATTGATATTACATTCTCTAAGACATGATTGAACTAATGTACAATAGACACGCCAGTTACAGTATATAGTTACAACAATGGGAATCTTTAGAAATTTTACTATGGAACATTATTATTAAAAGTAGCCCTGTTCAATTCTGAAATCCAATCGGAAAGTGGCAAATTTCCGCGTTCTGTTTCGTGTTTTCGTTCTCTATTGAAAAAGTAGCATTTGTTTCCAAGCAAAAACCGTGTTTATTATAAATAAAAATTACTTGCAAAGGGGACCCTGTTGTATACTAATAAGCAAGTCAAATCCACCATGGAGCTAAAGAATTATAAGATGTGCATTTTAAAGAAAGAACAGGAGAAAATTTTGCTCCATACATTTTTAAAAATAATTAATCCCTTAAATTTTTTTCTTTTTTCTTTTTCCTAACAGATAGGCAAAAATTCCTATCATCAAAACTATTATTCCTCCCAAAATGTAAGGTAAATAATTGGTTGGGTTGGTTGAGGGTAATTGTTCTTTCTTTTGCTCATCAATTATTTGGTTAAGTTCAGACTGGGATAAAGAGGTTTTATTAATGCTTTTTAAATAATTAAAGGCTTGTTGTAATTCAGCTTTATTATTATTATTATTACTATTATGGTATTCAACTACTAATCTATTGCCATTTTCAAGAAACCCATTTTTTATCTCATACTGAATAAAAAGCTGTTCTAATTGTTCCAAATCAGAAAGAGAGAAGGGTTTTTGCTCTTCTTCATTGAACTCATAAACATCTTCACCTTCAGGTTCCTGTTTCTCTTCTGGCATTGTTTTAATTTAGCCAATATAAATAATTCAGTAACTTGCTCTTTAGTTTCTTCATCCAATAAATCTTGATCCAATAAATCTAACTCATGCCTTAGCTCATCAGAAGACATTGATCTTGATTAGTTAAGAGATCCTGAAATTTTTCTTGTTCAGTTTCAGTTCTTCATTCCTCAATTAAATCAGTTAATTCTTGCTTAGTAAGCTCTCTGATTAACTCGAGGTTTAACTTTTTATATTCAATTTTAAATTCCGCCAAAGTAAAAGTTAATTCTCTCTTAGCACCTTTAATTAAAAGATTTCAAGCTTTAGCATCTTCTTCAGGAGCTGGTAGTCAAGGAGTAAATTTTTCTCAAAGTTTCCTAAAACCCAGTTTGGCTAGTTTTTCTCTTATTTCACTAGATACTCCATATAAATCCTCTTTTTTTAGAGCATCTAATTTTTCCATAGTAATATTTTCTTCACCTTGGCTAATAATTGTTCAATCTTACTATTGTAATTGGCACGTTTTTTAGAAAAAAATTCAAATTCAGGAACTTCTTTGCCATCTATTTCAAATATTTCTAAGTTAGGGAAATTTTCAAAAGTAATAGGTTTATCTTCTAAAAATAAATTAGAATTTCTAGCAATGAAAAGCCTTTTTAAACTAGAAAGAGTGTTGTTATCAATAAAAAGCTGTGGATATAATAAAAAGATTCCATGATTGCCTGCCCAGTTTGTCATGCATAACTCAGTTAGGAAAGTCTGTGACAGGGGACTTGAGCATTTGTTAACAATATTTTCCACAGCCAATCTTGTTTCATCCTCTAATACTAATGAACAGATCAAACTGACAGCATTAGTACCAAGAACAACTTGAAGCAAAGGGAATTTTGTTAATCCATCAGATGGGAGAACTGACTGTACAAGTCTAGGAGATAAATATGCATTAAGTGCACAACTGATAATTTTTACTATTTAGCAAAGAAAGCTTGACAGGAATATATTATTGAAGTTTTCCACAATAATAACCCAGCTTCTTTATTTATATTTAGGCCAATACCAATTACCAAACAAGAAGCAACTGCACAAGAAATGAAGCAAATCTGTCCAGAGCAGAAATTGTTTTGAAGTCCTTGAACAGATGAGCAAGAGTGTTCAGAAAGGTATGGCAGGATTAAGTCTAAAAGACATGGAGAGATACTAGAAGAGGTAAAATTTTTATTCAATTCAGAAATAGAAAATGAATTTGAGAAACCAGAATAAAGAATTTTGTCAAAAAACGTCCAATAAAAATGGCTCTTTTTGTATATAAAAAATTATCCAATGAAACAGCCCTTTGGCATGGAAAACTTTTAGAAGCATTCAGAATATTCTGAATCGTGTTTCTATAACATATAAGGAGCGATCGACCCTATCCATATTTGGTATAAGTCCTGACTGTATTACTACACTAAAAAGTTCTATCTTAATTATAAGGTTTAAGGCACTTTACATTTACACTTACATGATTCTCCAGCCTTTGTTCTTTTGCATGCAGGCCTTGAACTTGAAAAGTAGTGCTCAGTCTTAATATTAAGATTAAATAAAATTTATAAATATGGATATTAATATTAATAATCATCAATTAAATTTATTAAATTAAACATAATAATAAACTATGTAAAAACATACCAGTGAATTTTAACACCTTCACTATCACAAAATGGTTCAAAAAGGACTGACAGCATCCTTACAGACCATGTGTTTTCACTTATCATTACACTTATTTTCTATTTTTGTGCTCGACTCTCAGCCTTTGCCCGAAGTTCGCCACGTGCTTGTATCAACCCCTCCCAACAAATGCCGAATCCTTTTTACTTTCGCTTCCCAACAAATCTTCCCAATCTTTCTCTCGTTTTTTCGAATCTCTTTTGCTTTCGCTTCCCAACAAATCTTCCCGATCTTTCTCTCGTTTTTCCGGATCTCTTTTGCTTTCGCTTCCCAACAAATCTTCCCGATCTTTCTCTCGTTTTTCCGAATCTCTTTTGTTTTCGCTTCCCAACAAATCTTCCCGATCTTTCTCTCGTTTTTCCGAATCTCTTTTGCTTTCGCTTCCCAACAAATCTTCCCGATCTTTCTCTCGTTTTTCCAACAAATCAATGCTGAATCTCTTTCCTCATCAGATGTTGAAGTTGGAAAATTTTGCGTACTACAACATTTTGAGCTTTTGTAGCCGCTTGAAATAATAAAGTCCCAAATGGCAAGTGAAGATGGTCTTTACCATATTGTCAGGATGCAATGGTACTTGTCAATAACCACTTGCAAGGTCCAAAGAGGTAAAGTACTCAGGTTGGTCCGTCAAGTTCGACCATGTCAATGAAATTGAACATATTAATGACCGACTCCCGTACGATCATTAGTTGAGTAACTACAAGCCCACTGAATCCATAAATAATAGTCAGAAAGCATATACAAACGATAATTAAACATACAGACTGCAATTGGTTTACTATTACCATAACATAAGTGCTCTTCTCCGCGTGAGCCTCAGTACGATCGACGAAACTAAAACCACTCACTGTTTATATTAGCGTGATATTTCGGCCACACGGTATCTGTGTAACACAGCCATAGGGTCCCTATCAGATTTGGCAGGCAGGTAAGTTGCCAAATGAAGTGGGAAGATTTCTTTATTGTTTGATAAGTTATACATGTTCTGACCCGTTTCTGAATTTGACCCACTTCCGAATCGGGTCAACCCATTTCCGAATTCTGATATGGGTCAGAATTGTTGTATGTGATGATCAACATACTCGATCACATCACTTCATAATGCGCAATAATATTATCAATGTAATAGTGAACACTCGAACAAGAGAATTTATTTATGAATAGCGAATATGAAAACATAATAGTAATAATAAAAAGAAATTTAATGTTTAACGCAGTCGGCATATTAATATGCTGAATGCACATTTGCTTATTCAAAAAAAAAAATACATATCCTCTATTGCATCTTGCTCACTCTGCACCCTCCTCTCACTACTACAGTATTACTCATTCATCAGAATAAGGATCAAACCTAAGGAAATGTTTATCCCTCTTTACTCGCACATTCTCACACTCTACTCCCTACCATTTACGTATACTCATATTCGCATAATGCACTAATAACGTAATATTCCTGAAATATGATAATTACGATATTGCGTTAACGCGTGCAAATGATACATGCATTAACAAATGGTGTTGGAGTTCTTCGAATGTCTTTCTGTAGCCAGCGTGTTGTAAATCTCGATGTGTAGAACAGATTACATCGTACATATTTTCTCTAACACACATGGGTTTTTTTGAGTAGTAGAATTGCCAATATGCATCACGCTGAACATTTGCAGTACCAGTGTTATATTTTTGATTCGCACTTATGTCTGAACCACTAAGGATTTCAATCGCCTGGTTTACGATTTGTTGAGTCAGAATGGCTTTTGTGCGACAATTAAGTGAAATATTATTCAAGTAATTCTCCACCAATTCATCAAATCTGGCGCGAGAGATGAAGTTAAAATGATTATTAGACATGTTTGTTTCCTGACGATGCTACGTGAAAGACACCGAATTGCAATGCTGATATTCCTCAATTTATAAATCTATGTCATTGTTTGACATGGCATTGGTGGCCTTATGTGCTGAGGAACTCGTTGTTCTAGAAAGTCGGTTGTAAAAAAAAAGTCGCTTCATGATATAAAGCCTCGAGTCAGAATGCACAATGCGACACGTTTTAGAATTTATTACGCGCCCTAAAGTCTCATCAATCATAAATGGTTTATCGTTTTCAGCAATGTTTTATCTAATTTGGCCATAATCAACATTCATAATTTACCAAGGTGTTGAGAAATGGTAACTTTATTTCCACAAGTAAGCACGTATGGATATACAGCAACTCATAATGCCAGCTTTTTGGCAGCCGCACACGCCTTATTTTTAACATTAATTACGTCGTCAATCAGATATCTAAATCTTATTCTCTAATCGTCTCTCCTTCTTTAATAGAACTAATTTAGCAATTATATCATCGAGGGGAATCGTCTCTGCCTTGGCTTTGACATCAGCGTCTCGATTACGAACGTTAACCGAATTCACCTTTTCTTCTTCGGCGCCGACAACTGCAAATGTACGTTTTAGTCAGAAATGAATTTCTCCTGGACTATCTGAATATTATTCCCACCATTATCCCAGCCTCTGACTCACCAAAAATGAAATTCCACTGAGCAAGCTCTGCATTCCGAATTTTTTTGTTCAACAAATGCTCACTAACATCAGTCTCAGCATGAAGGTGAGCCTTGTAGCATTCGTCAGCGACTTTTTGAGCATAACTGTTAAACTTGGGAGCCACAGGGATAACTATTACTTGTCGAGGAGATAACCAAAATGGCCTAGAGAAGATGAATTGAGTTTGTTAAATGGCGGATTGTATTGAATAATATGTACTTGATAAAACGCCAGCCTTTATCTCCTTTCCCCATCTGCTCTTCCACTCTCCGCTCTTGTTACCATTTCCCGCCAAAGTTCTCGGTCAATATTGCAACCATTCTTTCTACACTTCCTAATATCGCCCGATGAATCATCACCGGCCGCGCCAGTCCACTCGAGTCTCCTTCACTCCCAGCACCAGTCTGATATTCGAGCTGGAAGCGTTCGGGGAGTTGAAAATCTAGTTGGAGCGTGGCGCATTGATGTTTACGTTTTAAAGCGTCAGAGATTGTAATGTCGATCTAATGTGTGCAATTGAGTGGCTGGTGAAAAACGCGAACGGGTGAAAGATTCTACGCGAATTTCATGCAACTCACTTTTGGACCATAAAATGCCCCATCTTCCGGGTTTAATTCCCATGGATCTCCGAATTTGTTTAGCGCATCTTCTAGTTTCTAAAACACAAAGGCATAATTAGCATCCAAAAAAATATTCATTAAACCGAGGTCATCTATACGTAGTCACACCTAAGCATACCCCTTTACCCTATATTGAATATTCACGTTGATCTTTCATCACATTTTCTCCTCCAGACATGTCTTCTCTTTTCTCTGCTAATTTTTTTACCCAGCTTCTCAATATCTACTCCCAACTATCAGTATCTATACCTTCTCGGCCCGATCCCAGACTTCAGGAGTACCTAGATACTTCTCAGGTCGTGTAGATAACTTAAGCTGGAAGGTAAATCCAAATATACTGTATACATGTCGAAGAAAATCCAACGCTTCTGCAATCTCGTTCTCGACCTATTTAGTTAATGGCACATACAGAATATGTAAGATACCCCTGCTATCATTATACCTGTATTCATTGTCAATCAGGCGCTAATTTAACCTCCTCTTTCCAGAGTTATTCCCTTGCCCTTTTTTCTTTGGATTTACCTGATCTTCTCGACAAAATATGTGCGCATCATCCTGCTGGAATCTTCTAACCCTTGTCAATCCACTTAAGGCCCCGCTTAATTCGTTCCTATGTAGAACACCAAAATCTGCCATTCGTAACGGTAATTCGCGATAGTTACGCGTACGGTGAAGGAACATCAAGCAATGTCCGGGACAGTTCATGGGCTTTAGGGCAAAGTTTTCCTTTTCTATTTTAAAAATAAACATGTTTTCCTTTTGTAGAAAAAGTAGTGTTGAAGGAAAAGAGTGTGTGAAAAGAGGTGATGAAGTGTACATGATTCATAAGTTATGAGCGTACCACGGCTTATTAAATATGCTACATTAATATCTCTTCACTTACTTCATAATTTGCCAAATGCCCTGACTGTTCCCATAATTTAGTATTATACATATTCGGTGTGATAACTTCTGTATAGCCACGCTTCCAATATTCTTCCTAAATGATAATGAGATTCATCAGTACAAATGATCAATATTGGTATTTCATTTTAATGTTAGTTACCTTGATAAATTCGACAAGAGTGTTGTAAATCCTTGCACCATGAGGAAGGAAAAAGCAACTGCCCGGACTAAGCTCATGGAAAAAGTAAAGTTCTTGATCCTATCGAATTATAAAAGGGTGAATACATTTCAAAGACAGCTATTGAAGAATAATAAGCGTAGTATTGGGAAAATAAAGATAGCACTAGCATCAATTTATTGTCCAAGGAACGCACCTTGCCGATCTTACGATGGTCCCTCTTCCCAGCCTCTTCTATAAATTTCTTGTATTCGGTCATTTGTTTACTATCCGGGAACGAAATGCCATAGATACGTTGTAGGGAATCGTTCTTTGCATCACCAAGGAAATATGAAGCCGAATTCTGGGTTCGTTCGCGAGTATAAACGTACAATCAATTTCTACTGTACACATTCGTTGCTTAGAAATCTCAGACGCAGTCTAATGCCCATTTACCTTAGTGACTGAAAATGCTTTGATTTTACCAGTGTGTGGCACGTGCGGTCCCATACACAAGTCAATTAATGGTCCGCAGCGATAGACGGTTGTGGATGAACCATCAGGGATCTTGGAGTTGATTAAGTGAAGCTTATATTGGTTGTGCTAAATAATAGTAGATATCAACAGTAAAATTGGTGAGATGAAAAAACAATTGATCACCGAGTAATACATTACTAGCGACAATATGGTTAACGATTCTAAGAAGATAAGACCAACTGCTAATATACACCAAAAACTCAACTTACTTTAAACATCGTTAACAATTGTTCTTTAGATAGCGTCAATCGCACAAACGGTTGTTTTTCTTTAATTGCACTTTTTGCAACAGTTTCAAGAGCCAAGTAATCAGTCTGGTGAACAACGCTATCAACAGAAAAACGAATAATTAATAAATAATAATAATAACCTCAATGCCAATTACTAAATATCAAATAATCAAAGCATAATAGCCGATCAGCTAGCAAATGCTTCCAGCTAACGTTAAAATTCAAAAACTACATACCGATCGGAAATAGCCATCTCATAATAAAACCCATCCTCTAACGGTGGGCCAATGCACAAGTGGCATCCGTAGTGACGTTCGCAAGCCTCACCTAAAACATGAGCGCTCGAGTGCCAGAAGACCTTCTTGCCTGCAACCGACAAAATGTATGACAATAGATTAGCAGTGAAGATAAAGTGCTAGGTAATAACAATCGTGGAGGTAGCGAGTGCATATTAATGGTTAAGCAATGATTTTTCGGAACATCCTTCGACAAACCTTCTTCATGGTCAAAGTCTAATAATTCCAGTACACAATCCTCTTCAAGTGGTCGACAGAGATCGAAGAGGGTTCCATTAACCTAGGGGCTTCAAATTTCAGCTCTCAACATACTAATAAATCTTAGTCTCTTACTCTAATGCGTTTCAAACCTTTGCGATGACAACTCTTTCCGATAAACTTTTAGAGATCTCCTTCGCCACGTCCATCGGTGTAGTTTCCCAAGCTGTTCCTTCTCTTGTTCTCCCATCTGGGAACGTAATAGTAATCTTTACGCGCGGCTTTTCTGCCATGACATAAGCCAAATTGGAAGAACAAAAATATAACGAGAGCATGCAAACAAGCGATGAAACAAAAGATTGTTAGAGTCCGTAATATGGTAGTGGGCATCTAAAATACGAACATAAAAAAGCATCAATCACTCACGCTTGATTTCTTCATCGTATAGTAATTTCCATTGTTCAAAAAGTTCAATCCGATAAGCAATGTATTCTGGCAGTGGATTGAGCTGTATAGCATAAAACGGTTGGTAAGAGACGACATATCACTGAAGAAAACTCCCCCCAAGTAATCGCGTAATCAGGAATTGTAGATAGAACCAGTCGCCATTTTTTCAATCTGTCCTCGCCGTCGAATTCCAATCATTAGACGATAGATTCCTGGCGATTTTTTGATAGCTACATTACGTTATAACTTACTTCCAATGGATGCCCCGAACTACTCGTGTCCTTTCCACCTTTTTTCTTACTTTTTGAGGCCATTGTGGTAAATCTGGATCATCGCCCCTGTGTCATAAATTTATTGAAATTCTATTTGTGACACAGGTTGCTGCGCACTTCGCATACCCAATGGCAGTCACAAATAAGGCAAACATTAATTACTTTTCGAATTCTCCGTTCTTTTATTGCACGATTGTAAAAAATATAAGAGTGTCTGGAATACATACAAGACAAGAACCCAGAACCGTTTAGATATATTGCATGAATATCATTATATCTACTACACATCTTAAGAATTTAAATTTAAATATGACATGTCAAAAAAAAAGGTAGATATTTTAATCAATTAAAAACGCATCACAGAAGATAACTGAGAAAGCTCTTCAACTGTTGCATTTAATACTCTATTAGATCCCATAGAAAGAGACTTCAGAGAATAATTTGATTCTAGTGCGTCTACCAAAGCTCTTGCTCCAGCATCTTTAATCTGATTCCTGCTAAGATTTAACGATTCTAGAGAGGAATTCGATTCTAGAGGTTTTGCTAACGCTACTGCTCCTTTATCCCTAATCTGATTACTTTCAAGATCTAAATAAGTTAGAGTAGAATTTGACTCTAGTACTTTTGCAAAAACAGTTGCCCCTGCATCTCTAATTTGGTTCAATGAGAGTACCAAATCTGTAAGAGAGGAATTTATTTCTAAAGCTTCAGCCAAAGCTATTGCTCCTGCATCCCCAATCTCATTATAATGAAGCTTGAGATAAGTCAGAGTAGAATTGGATTTTAAAGATTTCCCCAAAGCTTTTCCACCTTCACTTCCAATATCATTTTTAACAAGATGTAAAGATCTCAAGGAGGAATTTGATTCTAGGGCTGCTGCAATGGCTGCTGCTCCTGCATTTCCAATTTGATTACAGTTGAGATCCAAATCAGTTAGATGAGAATTCAATGTTAAAGCTTTTCCTAAAGCTGTTGCTCCAATTTCTCCAATCTGATTATCACAAAGTTCCAGGTTAGTCAGAGAAGAATTCAGTTCTAAGGCTTCTGCTATAGCCACTCCGCCCACATCTCCAATCTGGTTATTGTTAAGAAGTAAAGATTTTAGAGAGGAATTTGATGCTAGAGCCTTTGCTAAAAATGATGCACTTGAATATCCAATATTATTATATGGCAGCTCCAAAGTAGTCACTACAGAATTTGATTTCAAAGCTTCTGCCAAAGCTGATATACCGGTATCACTAAACAAATTACAGTTGAAACTCCAAGAAATCAGATAGCTATTTGTTTCAAGAACTTTTGCCAAAGCTGTTATGCCTGTATCACTAATCTTCTGACTCCACAATTGCAGATGACCTTGAGAAGGGTTTGCATCATCAACTTTGATTCGAGATAAATTTAGAGGAATTTCAGAGGGATTTGATTCTAAAATATTTGCCAAAATTATTGCTCCTTCATCTTCTATCTGGCAACTGTCTAGAATTTTTCGTTCGTCTTTAGGCGGGGGACTATTTAGATCTAAAGCTGCAATATTTATATTGTTAACATGACTACCACCCAATGCTGGCGTGGGAGAAGCCGGCATTTGACTAAACAATAATCCTAATTGCCTGTGGGCATCTTCGCATGTTGGTCGTTTCTCAGGATCATCATCCCAGCATTCCGAGTATAGGTTTATGTATTCTGAAGGTGTTCCGGGAAAGGGAGGATCACGAGAACCCCCCATTCTATATAAAACAATCTCATGACTCTGGGAGCATCCTTCACATGGAGCCGTCCCACTAGAAATTTCCCAGAGTATCACTCCGAGACTAAAGACATCGGACTTTTTCCCGCGCTTATAAGACGGATTGTTAAATGAGACTGGATCAATGTACGCCGTATTGCCTTCACATTTTGATGTAGACATGACCTGTCTTAGCTTGTCAGACAAGCCGAAATCGGTAATCTTGGCAACACCGTCTTGGATAAGAATGTTGGCGGACGACTATTTACACAACAAGAAAAAACATATTGTAATTCACGATTAAAACACGAATATTGCAAGGTGCAAACAAGCAGGATAATACAAAATAAATACCAAGTCTTTGTGAATAATATCGAGCGCATGTAGATATTTCAATCCATTGGCAATATCCAAACCTAAATTATACTTGCTTCTCCAGGTTAAATCTTCAAAGTTTTTGCTCAAGTATGTCCGTAGATTACCATCGTAAGCAAACTCAAATATCATATGATACTGATCGGATACATCTGTTGCATAATGATATGAACTTAGCGATCATTATTATATGGCATCGTTCGGCAACTACAAAACGAGATAGGATATTACCTTTGTATAAGCCTAAGAAACGGATAACGTTTGGATGGTCATCTACTTTCTTGTGGGTCTTTACCTAGCATGATTATATATTATTGTTAGAATAAATTATTTAATGCAACAAGTAATAAAAAATTAAAAATAACAAACTTCTTTAACAAATTTTTGATATAATTCTTCATTGCACGTATATGCGTCTTGGGGTAACATCTTCATTGCAACAGCTATTCCGGTATATTTCAATGTGGCCTTGTATACAACTCCATAACCGCCGTGATTGATAAATGTTCGATCTAAAATCTCACTTTCTGAATAACACCTAATCGCACCACTTTCGGTGCTTGCATCTAGCCATTCTTTATCGGCATTCGTGGATGGTTGAGTTTGAGACATGGCTACGCAGTTCGTTTGACGAGCAGTTAGCAGATGGCGGCACAAATCAGTGCTTTTTATAGTTTATTGGACGCTTAATAATTACTAGATGCCCTAAATTATGAGTTGGTGTAACTGTTATTTGTAAACAGCCAAAAAGGTTTATGTACAACTTTAGTACATTTCACTATACAGTAAAACCTCCATAAATGCAACCTCCATAAGTGCAATCCCTCTCTAAATGCAACATTTTGCTCGGTCCCAAGCTTGGGACTTAGTGAATAAATGCAACCCTCCCTTTTCTGCAATGCAACGGATTTGCGAGTCCCGTTCTAGTAGATTTATTTCTCTAAGTTCAATTCACGTGATTCACGTAATACAAAAATGATCAACACAAGGTACAGACTGTTTCACGTACAATATTAACATCACTATTCGGCATTATTTGTTACGGATCGAGTTTTATATGTGAAGAATTGCTATTTTCTTTCTTCAGTATTTGACTTTATCTTGCTTACAAAAACTTTGAAACATAAAGATTTTAATTGATTATTATTGTTATAGATCTAATTGTAATTGTGCAGAGGAAAGACTCTTTCAACGTTTGGGTTAGAAACTGTTTGTTTCATTTTACAATAGCTTTGAAACTAGCGGAAGAGCTTCAATTGTTTAACGTAGATATTGTCCAAAGGTATAAAGATGATGGAATTTGAAGAGGGAGCAGAAAATAAACCAAAAATGTCATGCAATCAATCCAATAAAACTACTTTAACTGATAAACAAAAATTTGAACTTTGTCAATATGCCCGTGATAATAAAGCGGCCCTTGAAGCATATGTCAATTAGGGATTTGATAGTCAAATTTTTTAGTAACTTTAGCCAGAATTATATATAATAAAGGAAAATCTGTTCAATCAAAAAGTATATCCTAATAAGGAAACCTCTATAAATGCAAAACCTCCATAAATGCAACATAGCCCCTGGTCCCAAGGCGTTGCATTTATGGAGGTTTTACTGTACATATAACTAACTTCTTCTGATGCTTATTCGTTCGTCAAGTCGTTCTTTTCCTTATTCATTTTCCGCACTAACCTTCAAATATCCGTTTATCGTAAATTTTCATGTAGATCTTCGCGCTGGAGTTATATACTAAATACCATAGCCCAATTCACGCGAGGTGCTTTTATAATCGAGTACTTTAAGAATTCGTCTTACAACGCAGCATATCATAAAGATTTTAGCACAATCAAACATTTCTCCTTCCTGCTGCGCACATCCTTTGAATAATGGTTGTACGAAGAAAAAAAAATACCGCATTTTATTGATTAATTATTAATATTGTCAACTTCCTACTAAAACAACTTGTCGGCTGATTTCTAAAACAAAAATAACGCACCTTTTCGCCTCTGAAGTACTAGCATGCCACAATCTTTGTGACCCCCATGTCTGCATGCCGTTAAGCCGACTTCATCACCAAACCTGCAAAAAACATGAAAGATTTTTTGCTCTTGTTGTCCGGTTAACTGCGTATTGTAATTGTTAGACTGTTATGCCATTTCACTCTCATCAGTAACAGTTTGCGGCAGGTCTACAGTTTTCACGTCTCATTTACCTTTTTGAAGCGAGTGGATTATTGTGGATTATTGAAACTAGAGAACAGTTTTCAGCGCCAAAAAAATTCTCGTTGAATGCGTACTAATACGTAAAAAGACACAAAAAAAAAGGCAACAACCAATCAGATTCCGAGAATTCGCCCGCAGATCATTCTAGAATCGATTTCCATATCGAGTAATAGCCCTGACTGTAATTGTTTTGACTAGCATACAATTTTTGAAACCAATGTTCTATTTCTTTGTGGTTGCCTGACTTACAATTCTTTTTTGTTAAAAGCTTAAGACATACGATGCTACCGTATCAACAAACTGAAGATCATAAACAGACTAGTAGAATGTATGATCAAAGCCTTTAACAAAAAAGGATTGTAGAACGATTTTTCAAAAAGAAATAGAATGAAGACATAATTAATAATAAACCAATGCATGTCAAAACAATGACATAGATTTATAAATTGAGGAATATCAGCATTGCAATTCGGTGTCTTTCACTTAGCATTTAACTTCATCTCTCGGCATTATGATTTCAGAGAATTTTATTGGGTAAATGTCATGTGATTGATAAGTAATCTGCAGATGTCCTTGCCTTTACCACAAGGTTTAGCGAGCACCTCGTTGTGAATAAAAGTTCCTCGCTTAGCCTTTACCACAAGGACCTTTGGAAGAAACCCTGTCCCCTCCTTAGACATTACATCACAGCTCTTTGGGCGTCTACTCTCACTTCGTAGTGTAGATGACCACTCCCTGGGTCTTCCCCAGCCCAGTAAAATACAGTCTCTCATTAATATAGCCATAATCAGATATACCCCTGATTCCAATACCCTCTCTTCTTTACAGATATGTAAGCAGATAAAAACAGCTTAAACTGGGCTTTAGCAAACACCTCGTTGTGAATAAAAGTTCCTCGCAACACGGTTTTTAGATGTCCTGCACGTACACCACGCGCGTACTTGGATATGAACGATTGGCACCACCAAAACTCCAACACAAACTCAAAATAATAATAATACAACAATATTCTCTGTCCAAACCACACAATACATCCCCGGTACTGGCACTGAAATCCGTCTAGCGGAATTTGAGATAACAGTTCGTCACAATACTGGTAGGAAAAATCTCCACGAAAGAACAAAAAAAGCAAAAATAGGTCGAAGGTGCTAGAGTAGGCGAATTGGACATTTATGACAATAAGCTCTATATTGAACTTCATAATATCCTTCAGTAATTCGCAAACTACATCAAAAAAGCTCATGTATCAATCATTGTTCGAGAATACCCAATCACGAAAGCGAAAACAACCAGATAACCGACGATTTAACTCCTCCAAGAAACGGGACTCTGCGTCTACAGTCGAAAGCGATCAGGTTCAGGAATCTAAAACACACATTAAACAAATGACAACACCTAGAAGACAACTACGATCAAAAAGGTTTCACAAGTGGGTTTTTCAGCAGGATAACATACATCCCGTGATGTTAGAGGTGACTTGGAATCTCGTCTTCCATGACGCGTTCTTCCTTGGCCTTCTTACAGTCCAGATCTTAGAAGATGGTCTCGAAAAAGATGTTATAGTTAACAACATTAGTAGTATGAAAAACCGAGTTCAAGCATGTATTGAAGCCGAAGGAGGCCATACTAAGTATTAAGTCGTTAATAAAATTTGTTGGGGCTTTCATAAAAGTCTTTTTATTTGTATTTATATACCAAAATGCGTTCACAGCGTCCCAAAACTGACCGCCATTACTTTTGCCGGGTGACTGTATCATGAAGTACCAGGCCCTATACCTGGTACTTTATGGCAGACGCTTTCTAAACGAAATTATAAAGATGACATTCCTATACTAAATAACATAAGCAAACTGCATCAACAGTAAATCTCCGTTATTTTCGTTAACAAGCTCGCAGTGTTGTTAATTCAAGTATTTCTTCTCACTCTTCAATCACAAATTGCTCTAGTTCAGCCAGATATTTTGGCATACGTTTTTATGCGTCCTAATAGTTGTTTTGTTAAAACGCCAATTCTTTCTTGAATATGCGTCATTAATGAGTGATTTTGTAATATTGCTCTAATAGTAATAATATAGGTCCAATGAAGAAAAATTTCCAGCGTTAGTAAAATTGATAATTGTGCAAAAGTTTTCAACCCGGAGATTTATATTGTAGGTTCATAAATAGTATGCGTAGATTTGACAATACGTAACAAATAAAATTTGTATGATAAAGATGTAGAAAAAAAATGAATATATATTACACGTAATTTTACATTATCGGATTACATCACCGACGAGCTTCTTAGACATTAATCAATATGTTGAAACGATTACTTTTTCATTGTTACAATTTCAAATAGAGAACTTGACGACGTAATCCGCTAAGCGTTACAAACTCGAAAAGACTGTCACTGTCCAACAAATTGATGCCTCTCCAGTTTCTCAGGATTAAAGTTATTTTATTAAAACACTGGTCTACGTGTATCTGGAAAAGCAATGCTAAAAGTCATAGATGACTAGAGGGATTTAGTAAGAAATGCTTTCGCAATATTAGTCTGTACCTTGTATTCTTTCAGCAGCTGGTAATTCCATCTTTATCAAATCATACTGAAAGAGTTGATGATGTTTCATCCGTGCGGGAAAAATGGTTGTACATAATATATAATTTTTTGTCTCTATCTTAGAAATACTATGTATGTAAACATGTATTGTGGGTATCTCTCGACACAGTTTGGATTGAGTAAAAGAAATGTCCATATGATAACAAGTAGACAGACCTGAAGATACGAGATCGTCCTCCAAGCTCTAACAAATGGAAGCTGTTATGCTGTAAATCAATACATTGAGAAGCACGGAATCATCATTAGATACGGAAAAAGCGTCTATGGTTATGAACTCGAAAATATAACAACTGAATGAATAGAGAATATGTCATCTGTTTCAGACTGTTTGTCCTCATTTTGTAATCATAGTTTACGAAATTCTGCTTTCATTTGCCTTTCATAACAATTGTTTATTTATAATGAAACAGATAATTTTACGATAATTACAGCTACAATAACGGGAATCCATAAAAATAACTGCTCATCGAAAAGAAGACATTCATTTATCATTATCCGATCAGAATCCTTCCTTGTCAGATTCGATGATTTTACTTGGCAATGCCTGAACGAGAGTGGAGGAGTAGTAAGTGATAAGATAGTTAGGAAGAGTATACGAAAGAAAAAGAATGTACGGATTTATAGAGACGCACGGTTAAGTAATTGAAAAAGATCAATAAGAATATAGTACTGTGGCATCCTATAAATCGATGCAGTTACATACCAATGACACCGCAGGCAACACGAGCACCAGCATTACCGGTGAGCAAAGAATCCTTCGCGCCACCCTTTCCTAAGTCGTCGATGCCGGCGTGAATGATAACCGTGCGACTACAATTGAACCCCACATAAGCGTATTTTCGAGTCAACAAATACAACCCATTAGTCACAATTGCTAATCCATTGTTTACACTTTCTCTCCCTTACTCTCCACATACCCAATGATGGAATACTGTCCGGTCAATTTAAGCACACTGTCCACAAGAGTTTGCTTGACAGCACTTTCAGCATTCACTGTAACGTTTCCCAAATCGCCGACATGACGTTCTGAATCAGTCGGTGCACCATGGTTCTTGCCATGAGGATTGTAATGACCACCAGCTGATATACAACCACCAGTATTATCACCGAATTCGCTATTTATAGTATGTTTCGGCAAGAGAAAAAAATGAGATTGTACGGTACGAAAGGTAAAGAACATATTCTTATCCAGTTCTTCCACTACTCTTCAACACAACTCGCCCATAAACTCTCACCCCACTCTCCCTTTCACTTCCATTAATGTAAATTCTTAATATATCTGCACTTGAAGCTCCATGTCGGTAATCGATACTCACTGGATATGGAATCCGACATTCTTATTCACACCTATCGCAGTCAAATTTTTCAAATCGATGTCGACTTTAACTGTACCATCATCATTCTCGGTAAAAAGAACAGTTCCTGCAACCTTATTTGGAGTTCCCCCTGAGAACGCTTGGTCGAAATGAAGCACAGCAATTGCCTTTACCACCATGACTGATAATAGCGTGACTATTGGAGTTTGAAGCGTCAGATAAGTATCAATGAATACCCAGAAGCGTTGTCGTCGCTTTTTTTTTTCTTCTTAAACTTAAAGTGTAACACTTTTTGAGCAATTTTTGCCGAGAGATCGAACTAAAAAACGCCAACCTCATGTGAAACATATGACGTTTACATCACTCCCTACCATATTTAGTAGTAGGTGCGTTTTGCCAAATTTGGCCCCCAAACGCAAGAGAATTATACTTTGACTCACGGACTGGTAAACACTTCGGTAGAATTAGCTTTAACACTCATTTCTCTCCAGCGTTCACTGAGCTTTTTTCTATTCTACCCCGAGTGCTAAACTATCCGAAACGTTACCAAATCTGGTAGGGGAGTACTGATACACGCAATTTTCAGGAATGTTTTCTTTGTTTGAATAGTATGTCTACACAACATTCTTCTGATGGTAATATGTTACGAGCTATACGTGCGAAGCATAGAGCAATGCATTATAAGGAGGTGGATCGTATATATATATTGTATGCGAGTATTGTGGATCGTTAGTTTTTAATTCACAATTTATTCGTTTAAACACATAATTCGAATTCACAAGTTAGCGAAGTAGCCTCTGTCGTCTCGTCTAACCATAACATCAACAGGCAGTTTTTGTATAAAATATAATGAGTGGGTTACAAATTTCCTAATTTAAGAAAATCACGTTTGTCACGGCGACAAGCCACCGAACGCCTTAAGCAAACAACAGAAATAGATCCGATTCATGAACACAACCTTTTCAAGAAGCCATCGATTACGTCACAAATGCAGTTTGCAAAACAGGCATATTTCCCGAACGAGAAAAAGATTAAAACTTTAGGGTATGTCCTGATATACAGTATAACTTAATGTTTTCAATGCCCGAGAACAATCTCGTAGCTTATTAGATTTTTATATTTGTAAATGGGGCAGACTGCAACAAAACCAGACAAAGTGAACATTCTATTATGTGACATAAATGAGATGCTGATGTGG